AATAATCTTTTCAGCAAAAAAATTGTCAGCAAATTAAGGTGTCAAAAAAATGATTGTCGGTAAAATGACCCAGACCCTGTTTAACATATAAAACAAGTTTACTTAAGGACCCAAGGTTGATTTACTTAGTAATTATTGCTGTATTCTTGTGAAAAATTTTCTTTTATTGTCTTATTTAGTAAAATAATCTACAGAACCTTTTGTAAAATATTAAAAACACAGTATTTAAGAATTAACTATATATTTAAAAAAAATTTAATCTAAACGTTTTACTTAATTCAAAAGTTAACTTTACTTTGAATTTATATGTTATTATTATATATCAATATTTATAAACATATTGGATAATAACGATAATTAAGAGTTCAAAATTTGCAGCATGATTATTTTGAACATTGGAAAGCATTTACTTTACATAGATTAGTATCAATAGTTAATTTCGATTGAGTTAAAAATAATAAAAAGTAGTATCAAGCATTTCAATTAAAAATTTTTAACATCTTACGTTTTACAATTTGAAAAATGCACCCATAGTGTTAACATCTCTTTTCTTGCTAAATTTAGAGTTAGGACGCAGTTATAAACTTTCAACTCCATAAATGAACCCTCTACAAATGAACACACTATGAATACCTTCTTTAAATATACACTAATGTTCAATCCCAAGAACTTTTGCGCCATAATATAATGGTAAAATAATAGCAGCTACTATAATTGCTATACAACAGAAACAACAAATAGTCACACCAAAATTACAAGTAGCTCCACAACATTTACAAGTATTCGCACCACATTTACAAGCAGTCGTAAGTGTTTTAAATATTGTGGGCTTTGTGGACTTTTTTTTTTTATCAATTTGTTCTGGCAATTGCATCTCGTTATAATTTTGACCTTGTTCTAAATCATTTTCAACCTGCTGATTTAGTTAGGGTTAGTTTGAAAAATTAATTAATAAATCACAAGTTATTTCATTTAATTCTGTATTTGATCGAGATAAAGTTTATGTAACAATTACTTTTGACATAATAAATAGCTTAATGTTAAAAAAAAATATAATAAAATTATTTATTATTAGTTTCATAACAAATTTGCTAAAAACAAGTTAGTTTAACTTACTTAAAAATAAGTACAATATTTTTTTTTTTTTTTTTTTTGCAGATGTTTTTTTACAACGCAAAAATTATAAGCATGCTTATCTACTCAAGTAAAATTAACTGTGTCACATCAAACAACTTTTGAAGGAATAGTTGCCATTAATAATAATAATATCTTGGTTTATGAAGATCAGTGAGCTTCCCTAACGCCAATCTGTACTGCCACTGATCGGCTGTGTAAACAGCAGATTAGTGGCAATGCGGATTATCGTTGACACATCTTAGAAAAAACTCACTAATCCTGATAAGCCAGGATATTGTGTAAAATAATTTCGAGTATTTCCTCAGAGTCATATTCAGAGTAATAAAGTTTTTAATATCGATGTCTTATTTGTAAGAAAATTTATCAAATTTTGTTACCTTATTGGCTATACTCGATTATTCATGATCATAACCCGTTCTATTTAAATTCTAAGCAAACAGTGGGTCTGGATAAGGTGAATTTAATTCATAAGGTAGCTGGCGACATTGTCACGCAAACTAGGAACAGTAGATTTAGGAATCCGTGATTTGATATGATTATATATTAAGAAATAATTTTATCCGAAACGATTGCCTCATTTATCAGCAGTATATTTGTTTGTCTCTCATTTCTATGTAGTCATACTATGAAGAACAATATACGGGTATGTCTTTCCCATTCACGAGCACTTACGCAGCCTTCCCGAGTATCGGTCGGCTATTACGAATCTTATTATTTCATTAATATCATTGGCAGTCGTCCCGACTGGCCAAATATAATCTGCGACTGTCGT